TGGAAGACATTGAGAGTACAAATCGAGTATTTTTTTTCCTTGATGCACCTGCCAGTACTGGAAAGACCTTTGTTTTCAAACTGCTCCTCGCTAAGGCTCGCCAGAGAGAGAAAATTGCTCTAGCTGTGGCATCATCGGGGATTGCTGTGTAAGTTGGGCTCGCCCTCCCATCAACCGGAGGCGAGGAGTGGTGGTCGTGGTTACTTATGCCCCACTGAAGATGACCATTCGTGGAGGAATGCAGGCAACATCCGTGAAGGGATGCAGGCAAGGCCGATTAGTCAGCTAAAATGGCCCCTCGGGATAGAGTCATCTTGTTGGGTGACTTCAATTCCCGAGTTGGTCATGATGCTGGCACCTGGCCTGGAGTAATTGGAAGGCATGGGCCTCATCAGCTCAATAACAACGGCAGGAGGCTGCGAGATTTTTGTACAGCCCATGGGCTTGTAATTACCAACACGCTATTCCGGCATCGGCGCATCCACACCACATCATGGATGAATGCCGGGTCCAAGCAAAAACATCTGCTGAACTACATAGTGATGGAACAGCGGATGCAGGCCTATATCCTTGACACCAGGACCTACTGTGGAGCTGATCTGCCCACTGACCATTGACTTGTCATCTGTCAGATGTGCCTGCCATTCTTCCACTCCGGTGGTGGGTGTACACCCAGGACCCCATTCAAACCCTTAGTGGCATGGTCTCAGCTAGCTGATGAAAGTTGCAAGCGAGAATTTCATCATCACTTGCAGCTGGGGTTGGCATCGTCCCCCACTCCTCCTGATGTCGAGGGGAAATGGGTGAGGTTTAGGACTGTGGCTCATACAGCTGCAATGGCTGCTTTGGGTACACGGTACAGATCTCCCCAGAGACCTTGGCTGACAGAGGAGGTGTTCAAGCATCCCATGAGGAGGCTTACCGCAGCCTTCGCTCGGGGTTCCGAGAGCCGTGAGGCGCTGCAAGGATGGGTGGTGGTCACGGGTTGCTGAGGAGATGGAGTCTGCCTCAAGTTTCAAATTTAATTTATTAGGTATAGCCCTGTGAGCCATGCGGCTCTTGAGTCAGGTGCAACCGCAAAAAACAAAATATGAACAGAGAACATCTTAAAGCGACGACATGCATCAGAAACACCCTGGATAAACCAGCAAATCTTCCAGAAAAAACACCGTATTACAACGCTGTGTGCAAAAATCCCAGTGTGATACAAGTCAAACAATAACAACCATAAGACAATTTAGATTAAAGTTATCAGGCCAACTCCGCACTTCCGCAAGAAACATGGTTCAACCATATGTTTTCGAAATCACCAAAATAAAGCTATAAAAACAATGTAACAACAATAATCATAGGAACTGTGATTCAAATTTAACAATAAACGATATACATAACGTGTACGACCAAACTTGCAGCCATAGTTGGCAGCATGACACTCCCAGTGTATGATGTGTGAGTGAGTCAGCGTATGAGGAGTGAGTCAGTGTATGATGTGTGAGTGAGTCAGTGTATGATGTGTGAGTCAGTCAGTGTAAGATGAGTGAGTGTATCACGGCATCCTCCCCGCCATCACGGCCTCCTCCACGCCATCACGGCCTCCTCCACGCCATCACGGCCTCCTGCACACCATCACGGCCTCCTCCACGCCATCACGGCTTCCTCCACGCCATCACGGCTGCCTCCATGCCATCAAGGGAGAAACCGTCCCGAGTTGACGCGGATGCAGAAAAAAATTGCGCGCAGGCGAAGGACGCGGCGCGAGGTCGAGCGCAGCGCTGAACGCCTCCCGCGCGGGGGTCCGCATGCATGATAGCAATATGAGTGGCCGCGATCACAAATCACTCTTTAATTCCATCAAAAAAGTAACCTGCTGAGCCACATCTATTACCATCATTAGGGGAAAGAACGGTGATCCAATCTCCGACTCCCAGGAACAGGTTTGCAGATTTGTTGAGCATTTCTGTGAGGTCCTGGGGGAGGGGAAATCCCTCAGCCATGAAAACAACGTGGGACAAAGAGGGGATGACCCTGCTGAGGCTGCGCTGCCTCAAATATTGGAGGAGGAAGTCACCCCTTTGAGTTGCTAGCTGAGGTGCTATCTGTTGAGGAAATACTGAAGGCGATCCAAAGTCTGAGACCAGGAAAGGCTACCGGGCAAGGATGATCTCCCAATTCCTCAGTGGCCCGTGATCACAAATCACTCTTTAATTCCATCAAAAAAGTAACCTGCAGCTCCACACATATTACCGTCATTAGAGGAAAGAACGGTGATCCAATCTCCGACCCCCAGGAACAGGTTTGCAGATTTGCTGAGCATTTCTGTGAGGTCCTGGGGGAGACGAAATCCCTCAGTCAAGAAAACAACGTGGGACAAAGTGGGGATGACCCTGCTGAGGCTGCGGTGCCTCAAATATGGGCGGAGGAAGTCACCCCCTGTTAATGGTTGGCTGAGGTGCTATCTGTTGAGGAAGTACTGAAGGTGATCCAGAGTCTGAGACCAGGAAAGGCAGCGGGCAAGGATGATCTTCCAAGCGAAATTCTGAGGGAGGGTGGCATTTGTGCACAGACTGCCCTACATGACATCATAACAAAAGTCTGGATCACTGGACGGGTTCCGCAGGATTGGAAGGATGCCCTGGTGGTCCCCCTCTTAAAGAAGGGGGACCGCACAGACTGTAACAACTACAGGGGCATCTCACTCCTCAGTGGGCCGGGAAAGGTCCTGGCAAGGATTATTCAACATCACCTTGCTAGGCACGCTGAGGAGAGGCTTGCGGAGCCCCAATGTGGTTTCAAGAAAGGGCGGTCCTGCACAGATTCTATATTTTCTGTCCGTCTGCTACAGCAAAGGTGTAGGGAATTCCAACAAGGCCTACATCTCTGCTTTATTGACCTGGTCAAGGCCTATGATACCATCAGTAGGCCTGGGCTCTGGGTTGTTCTTCCTGCTTCCGTAGTCCCTGACCGTCTGCTCACGACCTTCATGATTTCAATTTAAAGCTTTCGTGACTGCAGAAATTCATGTTATTGGTTCTTTTGGTAAAGTCACGTAGAAGGGAAATAATAAAATAATAAAAATAAAACAATAAAATTCTCACGACGTTCATGAGGCTATCTACATATACAAACACAGAAACAATTTCAACCGATAAGATGGATTCTGGCTTAGCAATCATTGGAAAGATGTGATAAACCATTTCAGGTCTTGATTGATTGTGTTCCTCCGTTCCGAGCATAGATGCACTCGTTTGTCTGAACAACCGCTAGTCGCTGTCCGTGGTGCTAACGTTAAGAAAAAAACGCCACTTTTTTCACAAAATTTCTTGCTGTTGTTTTCACACCTGATGATGATTGCTTGTGTTGCAATCGAAACGTCGTGAGAATTTAATTGTTTTATTTTTCTTATTTAATTATTTCCATTCTACGTGACTTTACTGAAAGAACCAATAATATGACCTTCATGATGGTGAGCGGGTGCTGGGTAAAACTACGTGGCCGGGAGTCAGAGTCATTCCCTGTACACCTTGGGGTGCGACAGGGATGTCCTCTGGCTCCCACATTATTTAACATCTATTTTGACCACGTAGTTCGTGAAGCCTTCAATAGCTGTACTGGAGGAATTTCCATTTGGCACATATACAATGGGAAGCTGATTGGATGCATCAGCCAGTCATCTCAGTCAGTCGACCTGTGGCATTTTGGTCTGCCCCGTGATTTCCTGCCAGTGGGCGTTCGACACTTCACGTGGCCTCAAGGTGCACATAGCCTAGCCCAATCGTCGTGGTGACGTCACCGTGTAAGTCCATGTGTGTGTCTCTTAGTCGATGTATGTGTGTGTGTAAGTCCATATGTGTGCTTAAGTCGATGTGTGTGTGAGAGTCTACGTATGGTTGTGTGTGAGTCGCTGTATGTGTGTATGTCGATTTGTTTGTGTAACTCCATGTGTGTGTATCTAAAGTGGATGTCTGTGTGTGTGAGCCCATATCTGTGTGTGTGAGTCCATGTGTTTGTGTGTGTGGGTCAATGTCTGTGTGTGTGCCTAAGTCGATGTGTGTGTCTTTTTCACCCGGGCATCGCCGAGTACTTCCCGCTAGTAGGTAATAACTGCAAACCTTTAGTGCACTGCCCCGTACAATTGCTGGCCATAGTATTGACATCATGTTCATCATCTGCTGGTGTGAATCTGTTCCTTAGATTCCCCGTGTAGATTTTTAGATATGAGGCAATATAGTTAAAATATCACGTCAGATAAAAAAAAAATCTAAAATGACTAAAACAAAAACATTTTGTGAATTCCAAATGTTCGAATGCAAATACTGATTGAAGTCTTTGAGATTGTAAGTATCGGCCTAAAAACGTCGCGGATGCCGCACCCACAAAGGGCAGTTGAGTCGGAATGCTCCACGGCGACGGGAACTACAAATTCATCAACACCATCGATATTATCCATAATATAGTTTTTTTGGGTTAGATCGTGTAAATATAAATGTGTTGTTAAACCCGCCACCACCCAACACAGCCAATTAGTAAGGTTTGTCACGTAAACAGAACATGAAAATTCGTTTCCCAGTAATTACAACGAGCATCATCATGCGGACAGCCAGATCTGGTTGTCCTGCTGATGCGTCATACTCAGATTGTAAATATTGTGGATTTGCTCTCCAACACACCGGTGTGCTGTAGTAGTAACACATGGGCATGTTCTGTTTACGTGACAAACCTAACTAATTGGCTGTGTCGTGGTGGCGGGTTTAACGACACATTTATATTTACGTGATCTAACCCAAAAAAAATCTATATTATGGATGATATTGGTTGCGACAGCCTACGTGTTAAACTGACCATCGATATTGTTGCGGCCCAAGTCGTTTGTTTGCTTGTTGATGTGGTACAAAAAGCTTTTCACATGAAATATCAACTTTAAAATGAGTTTGACTGAATTGTATCACACTGGAAATTAAAAACTCATAGGGTTTCACCTGTGTAAAAAGTGCCAACTTTTTTATTTCGACTTGCTTATCAGAGTATAATAAATAAACTTTAAATGTAACACAGTGCAAAATATATAATATTAAATACGGCTAATTTTCCTTAAATTCCTGAGTTATTTGGGAGATGAGATGGTTATGACTGAAGATAGTTTAAAACCTTAATTAAAAATACATGTACATTTAGTTCTTACTACTAACAACACCATCAATATGTAAAAACATGATAATTTAAGCATTAGTAATGAAATACTTTGACTGTATTTTACCCACTAATTGTTTAGAAGTGTCACAAAGTTGTTGAACTTCTTTCACACCATACGTAGCCAACCGTACTAATCGGAGGTACGGTGATGTGAAACTCAGTAAATTAATGCAAGACATGTATAGCTACTTAATAATACATGATGAAATATCATCAACATCAAGTACTCTCCTCTTCCAGTAGGTAAACATTTATATATGTTAACTCATTTTTTGCTGTGACGTTCTCCACAGACACATTCACAGAAATACTATCAAGGGCATTCAACTTGTGAAGTCCCCAAAACAAAGACGTCCACACAGTGCTTTTGGTCACAGGACCAAATGCATACGACTTGACGAGTTCTCTTGGAAGATTGTAATTCTTAGACAAAACCATTATACTCGCTGTTGGTGTAACAGTAGGGTTACGACAATGAAATGTAATGCGAGCGGTGACGCTGTAAGTTCCTTTCTTGGGCACGATCAGATGGCGTTTGTCGTTGTGGCACTTCATGCCCCCCGACATCAGGACGTCTCCATGGGTAACTTTGCAGTCCCACTGCAGGACCTTAACGCTGTGCGTGGTAGTGTCTGCAACAAAAATAGATTGTTACCACTTTGCGTTTGTGTTGTCGTTCATTTGTGCATAAACATGGATTTAACATAACACATAGTCAGGTGACACTTTTATTCTGACTTTTTGAAGTGTTGTTCTGATTTCCTGGATCTTGTCCTGATGACGTTCGATGCAGTTTCAAACCAAACATCTTATCTAATTGCTAAATGTGGTTGTAAGAATTGTTCTTCAACTTACTGATGAGCTGAAACAATAATTTACACGTTCAACGCTTGTATGTGTGACTATTTAATGGTGTGGCTGTGTCGGGGCATAGAGGGTCTAACACAAAATGTGGTCCTGTCATCACGTGGCTTAACCGAACATCAATTATTAATCAAAACTTGGATTTATGACTACAATAATTTAGGTGCCATGTTTTTCATTGTAGCATTATAACCTCCATATTATTCATCTAATTATAATCAGCCATGCTTCAGAGCGCCGTGCAGCTAAAACGCATCAAATTGGCACAGTGGGGAGCACATGTGTGCATCTGCAAGTTATCTCAGTCAACCCATAATACCTAAATTTGTCTTCGTGAAATGTGAAATTTGCCTTTTTTGCCTTTCACATTTCATGTGGCCTCAATGTGCACCTAGATTATCACAAGCGCTGGTGATGAAATCACCGCCACTTTGTAACGAACGGCAATTGTTGTTGTATGTGTCTGGAAAGCCTTCGTAGTTCTCTCCTGGTTAAACAAAAAAAGCTGATAAATGTAGTAACTTATCATAAATGCTCAGGAATGGCGCTTGCCCCAAAAATCTATGAAGACTACATGGAGTATATGTTTCATTGTTTACAAACATGATTAAATGTATGCATGAATGGGAAGTGGTAGTGTAGTAATGAGCGCACTGCTTCGACCCTAGTTCGATTTCCACTCATAACCAACATCGGTGATGAATATCTGAAAACCAACATCAATAATGAATATCTGAACTGGTTCTGGACATCCCCTAAGTCGACTCAGCCTCAAAATGAGCACCTGGTGTGATGTCAGAACATTGGGACTATGGAGACAAAGCCGGGCGGGCGTGGTGCTGGCCACCAACCCCTTTGTGTGCTGTGCTGGCCTTCATAGGTGCTCATATAACAGCTACACCGGAAATATTTGTCTTCTTTCTATATATCTATGCATCTTTGGGACTGACTCAAGTAGAGTTTTTTCTACACATTTGTGGAATTCTGGTATCAAGAGAAAAATTCAGCAAAATGCGTTCTGCCTCATCCACGTTGCACTTTCCTGACACGCACCCGTTCCTGCAGGCGGACAGCCAAGCGTAAACAAACCAATTACCAAATACAAGTCACTCCATGAGTTATGCCTCACACTTGATCGCATCTATAAGGGCCTCGTATCGTATTCTGAATGCTGGGGCAGTCGGCATACGTATTTACCAGTGGTGAAAAAGGGCCGGAATGCCCCGGAACACTGTGGTGGGAGTGCAAATTTTAATTTGACCGCATTCCGAAAAGGAATCAAGGATTCATCTCGTACATTTTTTCTTCTCCCTAACTTTCCACGAACTATTAAGGTTTCCATACGGAAATATTTACTCTCCTGTGTTCTGACTGGACTGCCCAGGACAACGCCTCTGTATTTTCAAGCCAATAGAAGTGATTTTATAATACACAATATATATGTATACTCAATATCTACTTTTTTGGTTAGTTCTTAAAAAGCCATGATTAAAGAATCACATCTAAAACACGGTTTTCCTCTAAATATGCCCGATAAGATAACACTATATTGGGGGTCACTCGACCTCCAATATAGTGTTATTGAGGGAGCCGCTCGATTTGGGTACTGCGGGGTACGGAGCTATAGCTCAGACGTTGGTGTCCGACAACCAGGAACCTTGTGTTCAGATTCTAAATTCTGGGTTGGACACCACGGTCATTCAGAAGAATATGGAGTTGGCTCATGCAGCTCCGGCACGTCTGGTAGAGGGCGTTGTCGGGAATGCGGATGCTGAGCCTTGCACGCGACGATCCCGGGATGTGGTTAATTGCTGTGTTGTCCGTCCCTCTCGCCTGGAACCGGATATCACGCCACGCGAATTCATCTAATCTTCATATTGCTGGGGTCGAGTGTCGAGTGCGTCCGGCGACCCGGGGTGGGTGCCCACTGCAGTTGCTCCCAGGCAAAGCGATTCTGTTCTGCCCCCGGGCGCTGTACACCTGGTTTCCCCTGAATGGGCTACACCCATTTCAAACCTATATAACATCCTGCTTTAGCAGCTCTCCTGGTATATTTTTTCCTGCCTCAGCAGCTCTCCCGATATATTTTTTCACCTGATGACGAATGCTTGTGTTGCGATCGAAACGTCATGATATTTTTTATTATTTTTATTTCTACTTGGCTTTACCAAAAGACCCAAAGAATATGAATTCCTTCAGTCACAAAAGCTTTAAGTCAAGAATTGTACTCCTGCCACGGCATTCCAGCCCATTTCCACCACTCACTGTATGCAATACCAATTGTGGAGATTATTTGTTTAGATTATCGGACTGATTTACATTTCCACATGATAATCTACCCTCGTTGAGCTATAAATTAGTGGGCTTTACCTGGTAAATAAGTACAATTGTTTAGTTCAGAGTAATTTTCTAATTTGAACCACGACGCTGGCACATAACGGCCTACTTTTTTCGAGTATCGGCACGAAGAAGCAGATCGCGTTTATTTGCTTGGTGAGAACAGTCATAATCAGGGCGGCCTGCCGGATTTAAATGACGAACCTCCACAACAAGCAGTGAACTCGGTACCTCTGGGCCGCGTCACCGTCGGGTACGTTTATGAGAGTACCTTTATTGTGCGCCAACGTGAGATGGGCGATCGGTGTTGGGGTTTTCTTGAGCAGCTCGCTCATGTCTTTGAGGGAGTTAACTATTATAGGAGACACAGGACACGAGAGATGGAGTTTAGAATGATTGTAAAATGCCTAGAATGATTGGAAAATGCCGTTTGTATGACTCACCGTGTGCACTGCGATTTCGCCACCTCGTCGTGCAACCTCAGCACTCGAGAGCGTGCCATGACATTTAATGTACCACTCGAAATCAGTGTGATCATTATCACGAGGTTATAAGGACATGCAGTGAGGTGGACAGTACACGATGCTTACCAAGATATTCCGTGAAGTTAGACCTTGATTGCTGTCAAAAAAGTAACATGAAATAAGTGGATGGCATAGTTATGAATAAGAGCACGTAGATATCAACCCATGTCTATAGTAATAGTCAAAGCGGTAACTTTACACCTCATTCATTGAATTTGGTGCAGCAGTCTAGGAGGCGCTCTACAGGCACAAACACACATAACAGATTAAAATCTGCCAGACTTGTGTAAAAATACTGTTGTGTCAGATGTTATTGGCAAAAGCATTCCATCTGAATGATGGCAGTTCGTTCAACACAAAGCCCATTGTTTGCACTGTATACAGACTTATTGTGCGTTGTCGTGGGGCATTATGCGTTATGATCTTTAAGTGAATTGTAAGCGATATGAATTTCTTTACATTAACCGGCCAACTTTAAATCAACAAAAGTGACGTCACAGTAGAAGGATAGAGGAACATTATAGGTTAAAGCCAAATAAGCGTACACAACACTGAACACATTAATCAATAACATGGTGGCCTCAAAAGGAAACAATATATGGAGGCGGTGTCCGGTTTACGACGGTCAAATTTACAACGATTGACATTTACGACGTTTATATTGCTCCACCATGGGTCGATTTACAACGCAAAAACTTGGTTCACGACGTACCTTCCGACGTGACTCCGGAAACATTTGAAGGGAGTCAGTCTGGTTCCTATGTGGCTTGGCGTGCAGCTTTTATTATTTTCAAGTGGTTATGTGGATTTTTACTCATTAAACCCAATTAAATATGGCTGACAAAGGGGGAAAAAACGTAGGCAAGTGATACTGTTTCTACTTTCTGGGAAAATAGGGTCCGATTTTTACGACGGGGTTTCCAGGAAGGCATTCTAACATCGTAAAATTGGGGACAAAACTTGTTCTTGCTACGAGAAGGGCAATTGCCCAAAACGCTGCTTATTACGTAATTTTTATTTAAAAGTCAGTGCTTTACTCACGACTATTTGGAGTTGTTGTTAATTGTGCTTGCGAACCACTGCCAACGCAGCAGCAGAAGCATCACCAGGTAATTGGTTCTATGTGTAGTGACATTGGGGATATCACTGTATGGTGCCGACCTGGGAGGGCCATGGCACGCGATGCACTGTCATCGCATACACCCTGTGAGCGGGTATAGTACCAGCCCTAGCGGGGCTTGGTGAGCGCTGGATAGCGCAGGCACTACGCATAGCATGTGGTGGGGGCTCCCACGAGGGGGAGCGGAAGAGTGTCAGCCCAAGGACAGGGTTGCCCCAGACCATGGCACTCTAGTTGACTCGGCATACACGTGATCTGGAGTGTCCATAGAGAGGCACCCAGGTGGGGGGACTAGGGGGTGATCACCTGTCCAGGGGGAGCTCTCGAGAGGGATTGAGAGGGAGCTAGAAGGCTCAAGAAGGCGGGCGGGGTCAAGGGCAGAGCAGCCCTGACCGTAGGGGGATATAAGGCGGGTCTCTGAGAGGGACCGGGGTCGCTGCAATCTACAAGCTGGAAGCTCTACGTCTCAAGCTGGAAGCTCTTCAAGGCAGCCACGTGGTTGCGGACCCGAGTGAGGGCCCGACCCTTCGTAGCAGTAACTCCTCTGTATAGAGTAGTTAGCTGGGTGGTCACCACCCTAGGCTGTATCTGGTGAAGGGGCAGTTACCCCTTGTGTTACGTGTTACAAATAAATGTGTTGCATCTAAAAGGAACAACGTCTGCGATTCAGTTGGACTCACTACATATGTAAGCGTAGAGGGTGCTGGCTTGTGGTACGCATGTAGCAATGCACACCAAGAGGTTCAATGGAATTCTGCCTTGGCAGACCGCCATGGGCAGGGTTTGCGTAATCAGGCGGAATGACGAGTGCATGGCGTGAGAACTCCTTACCCATTGTGCGTGCGCATTCGCTTCGTCGTCTGTTTTCCAGGTCGATATTAACTGTGGGGTGAGCGCAGACAACACAGTGGCCATTGTATTTTAGTTGTGTTTGCTGGCAAAATGTAAAACATTATTACACTTTCAAATACAACCGATGCATTCATTATATATTACTCAAAATATCTAACAGTGAACACTGTGTGGGTATAGAATTCTCTACGCTCGATCAGGGCGGCTCTGTACCATCCGCGACCACACGCAGTGGCGACTCCGACGATCGCTCGGATTGTGTGGAGCGCTGTCCGCACTGACGATGCAGCTTACAGAACCCCGTATTTCGGTTTCGTGGCTTTTTACACCACAGTACACTACTGAATTTCATACCTGTCAACCCCTTATCAGTGCCTACCTTATTACAGACCAATTCAGACATTATTGGTCACCCCGTGCCCTTATAAATCTCAACGTTCATCCTACAAAGTCTCATCACAAGGGAGAAACACAAACAAATAGATGAAAAAATTTCCTATTGAAACGGCTGTACGCTATATGGACCTGAAAACTCAATTTCCCCATACAAGAATACGGAATACACCGTATGGGTTCACAAGTATGTATTTCAAAACAACAAAACGAGCGGCGGTAATGGTGACGATGGATTTCTCCTCTCACAGTGCGTGCCGGGTGGCCCGAGTCGTGAGTGGTTTCACTTCATGGTGAAAGTTGACATTGACATTCCACATCCGATTTGAACTCGATAGTTTAGACAAGACTCTCTTGCAATCACTTTTAATGTTAACACAAAAAAAGTCCCCTTCCGATTGGAAACGCGTTGACAACATGACAGCTGCCTCTGCTGATTCACTGTCAGCCAAATTTAAAGCTAACTTGATCGCTAAATTCAACCTCCTATCAAAGAAGAAGCCAGAACCACACATCACAAAGCTGGATGTTAACAGGATCGTTATCAATCAGAGTAACATCCCGATTTCGGACAATCTGAAAACGGTACTGGCTAAAGGGCTGAATTTCGCTGTCACCCCTAAACATATACCAGTAGAGGATGTGATCTCTCAGGTCGATGTAGCCCTCAAAGGCATAGGACACATCCAATCGGACACTGCGAGAGATGAAATAGCCACTATTCTCACGAATGCTAAGAAACCCATTAGCAACATTAGCAAAAACGAACGCTCTGAACTCGCAAATTTGAAAAAGAGGGATGATATAGTCATCCTCTTGGCCGACAAGGCCAATGCTACTGTTATCATGGATAAAAACTCATACAACAACAAAATCCAGGACCTACTCAATTATGGTAGTTACTCCAAAATTAAAAGTGATCCGACTAACAGCCTAACGACAAAAACCAACAAGATCATCACCAGTTCGACTTCCCTAATTGAACCAACCAAACGTCCCTCCCTAAAACCCTCGGCTGCGAGACCTAGCAGATTATATGGTCTTCCCAAGATCCATAAAGAAGGTACCCCACTACGGCCCATCGTGTCCACGATCAACTCACCTACTTACAAGCTAGCCTGTTTTATATTGGATACTTTGCTTCCCTTCACTGGCAAGACCACCTCAGCAATACTTAACTCAACCCAATTGGTTTCTATGGTCAAATACATTGTACTGTCTCCTGACGAGGTCCTCGTTAGTTTTGATGTGGTCTCTCTGTTCACCAAGGTTCCAGTGCCTGACACCATAACAATAATTGAAGACTTGGACTGAACTCGGATTTACCTGCGCTGGTTAGGCACTGCCTCACCAACACTTACTTTACCTGGAATGGTACCTTCTACAAACAAAATGAGGGTACCCCTATGGGTTCCCCCCTGTCACCAGTGATAGCCAATGTTTTCATGGAAAAATTCGAATCAGATGCCATCCAGACATCCACCCTTCGTGGATGATACTTTCGTCATTTGGCCACATGGCCTCCCAGCATTGAACCAATTTCTAGACCACATCAATTCCAGACACCCATCCATCAAATGTACCATGTAAGTGGAGAAAGATGGCAAGCTACCATTCTTGGATGTTCTGTTTGAGAGGAGGCCCGATGGCTCTTTGAGAGATTCTGTTTACAGGAAGTCCACCCACACAGATTCCTACTTGAAGCCTGATTCCCACCACCACCCGGCTCAAAAGAATTCCCTCATCAAAACACTATACCATAGGGCTCATTGCATCTCAGACCAACACCACCTGGCCCGTGAATTGAAACATGTACAGCTGGCCCTCAAGATGAACGGATACTCTGACCATACTATCCGCCAAGCTGTTTCTCCCACCATGCAGAAACAACCACCTGAAACTCCGATCAAAATCATCACGTTGCCATACATAGCAGGCGTTACCAAAAAGATTTCCAAAATTCTAAACAAACGCAAGATCCAGGTCCGATTCAATAAAGTACATAAAATCCGTGATCTGATCCCATCCGTAAAGGATGTCATTCCTGACTTACAGTACCCTGGTGTTTACAAATTGAGTTGTGCCTGTGGTGACTGCTATATTGGGGAGACGAAGCGACATATTTCTGACCGAATTCGCGAGGACAAATCAGATTTGAAACATGGCAGAACGAATTATTCGGCCGTAGCTGATGTTCATGAGAACCCGTTGTATCATGAGAACCCATTGTGTTTCAACACAACGGGTTCTCATGATATAATTTTCTCTGATACCAAAGTACTCTGCAAACTTCCCGGTTACTACCAAAGATTTGTCCATGAAGCCATCCAGATATAATGTACAAACATAGACACAACTTCAACCGAGAGGATGGTTTTAAACTAAGCAATCATTGGAAAAATGTCATCAACCAAGCCAAACTCTAGCTGCCTTATAATTGTACAGCCATAGTAGTTTTTTAGCTTTTCACAAACTGCTTGCCTGCAACCCACCGGCGTGCATAACAAAAGGCAGCGTAATTCTTGCTCTCTTATCTACTTACGCCATCTACATCACAAGGCATCGGCTGCCGCTCCAGGCATAGCCGCAGTTGCAGCACTGGTCGTCACCTCACCAGCTTATACCCCCCCCCCCCCCCACGGACCATCTTGGCTCCTCCCCCCTCCCCTTAACCAGTATATAAGGTCGTGTCTCTTAGAGCTCTCTTCACTTGATACAGTAATTTTGCTGTGACGGTTCCACCTGAAGGCGGAGGCTTGTGTTGCCTCCGAAACGTCGTGATTTAATTTATTTGTTTTCTTTTTAACCTACGTGACTTTACCGAAAAAACCCAAAGAGTATTCCACATCCTGCTGCGCATGGGGGTTCTCCACTTTCCTTACGTTATGGATGTCATCCCAGGTCACTGTGGCAAATGAGATTCATCCTGGTCTTTTGCATTCTCGCCGGGTCAAAACAAATTACTTGACGATGCTAGTGCTGACCTCACCCAGACAATCCCTGCTCCCCAATAGGTCTCAATTCATCATCATCATTGCCATGATCAATCCACTGCTTGATGAAGACTTCCCCAAACAAGCCGGCACCACCTCTCACGATCCACCACCTGCACCGGAGCTGATCTCATTGCTCCATCTTCTCGGTGGATGTTCCATTGTCCATCAGCCCTCCTATCCGTCACGCAGCCCCACACGTTCGACTCAGATCTCACTTAAAATTGAGATCGGAATGGCGAGCAGTACTTTGTAAGATACGTTTGTGTGTTGTGTCTGTCTAGTTTGTTGTGTCTGGCTCGTGTGTTGTGCCTGTCTAGTCTGTCCTTGCACGCCGTCGTTTCCCGCACCTCCGATGAGCACGGTTGGCTACGTACGGTGCGATATAAGTGGAATATACTTACGGTAGTAGTCTCACTTGTATTCTCTGATCTGCACTCTATCCTACTGCTGCCACGTGTTCTGACACTTCTGTACTAGTATATCGATTGGCCTGTGAAAGTACAGCATCTAGATGTATGCCGTCATGTTTCTTATGTTGGGATTGTTAAACGGTAACTTGTTTAAGAATCGGCTACTGTTTCCGTGGGTAAGGAACCAGTAACTGAGTCCAGTGGAATAAAAAAAAACGAATGCACTGATTAAAACTCGCCCCTATTGTTTCAAATGCCACTCCGGGAGATGGAATTGAACCGGTGACTCCTTTGGGTGGCGAGTCTCGTGTGCTGCTGCGAGCCGTGACACCGCTATAGGCAACGCCCTTCATTTTTCAGTTGACTACCGAAACCCTTTGCGTTTAATGCTCGAGACATTCATGTCTGTGCGGCAAACCGGTAACCGGTTTTACCCAGTTCTCTCGATACCGGTAATGCAAAGCGCCCGGTTGTGACCGATCCCAGGTTGGCATTGTCTGTGTTTGTACCACACGTATTTGTTGAGTTTGCTCCCGTTGTCTCATTTGTGCTGCCTCATTTGTCTTGTCCTATTGTCGCGTTTGAAGCATGGAGCGGTTGCGCGGTGGATCGCGCAATGTGCAACGTACCAGCGGGCACCTGGGTTTGATTCCAGGCCGCGTCTATAGTAACATGAGTGGCGAGTGATATTTAAACTGCAGGTTCTAGACCTTCCTCCACAAACATGCACTGACCAGCATGGTGAAGTATGGTCAAATCATCCCCGTGATCCACACGATGTGGGGTGGTCATCATCCAGCAGCGGATTAATAAATAGGTTATGTTGATTTATTTGGTATTAAGTTTGTACTCTTTAGTTCGCTCTCGTGTGTGCTCTCATTTCACAAACTTACATACACAGTAAAAACAAATATATGATTTGTCCAATACAAATGTATAGCGAATGTAATAATTATAATTGCGACTTATAACGCGCAGTGTTCGCTCACTCCCATAGATAGAGGACGCCTCAAGAGACGCAAGGAACCACAGACAAAGCAGGAAGGCAACCCATGCGGTGAGGCGGCGCTCACAATTGCCCAAGCTCTGCGGTTCTCTATGTAGTAAAGTGGCATCCGCCAATTAATGAGTGTTTACATATGGGAGCAAACCGGAGCACCGGGACAAAATCCACACATGGGAGGGGGACTCACTCTACCCCATTCATAAGGGACAGGTGGGGTCCACACTTTGCTGTATTGCGATCTCCTGACGAGCCAGGGTATGGCGCCTCCTCGACGCCCATTATTGCAGGTGATCCATCAACCTTCGCTGCCTCCACAGCGCTGGGTTACAGGCTACGTACATCGCCCCCACAGACCGGCAATGATTGTGAGCGATGGAATATTACATGGCGAGCAGACTCAGCTAGCCATGTAACATTCTACAGAATCAGAATATATATTTATACTGGAGGAATCCGATGAGCTATGAAGCTCTTTTCACAGATGTCCAGTAGGGGTGGGTAATAACGTTTCAACAACAAGCAATACAAACACATGATAGTAGAGCAAAGTACAACCAAGGTAAACAAATCACCCAAACACATACAAATAAAACTAAACCATCCCCATCCTACCAGACAAAGCCCAATGAGGTATTAAGTTGTTTTTCAAAGAGACCTGGCCACAAATGATAGCTCAAAAGTGTTTTATCATTAGGACATTTATAGCAGCAAAATAATCTAAATAATCTCAATGCATGTTTCTAAATGTAGAGGGAAAACCAGAGGACACGGATAAAAAATCCACGCAACTACGAGGAAAACAGGCAAACTCAAAATATACAGCAGGCGTCAGGATCGGGATCGGAACCCCCCACCTCCTGCATACCAGGCGAGGAAGATGACATCACACCACTGTGGCGACACGGGAACGTGGGTGAGGAGTAGGTGAAACTCACGTGGCCGTCCTGGTAGCGCAGGGGTCGCGGCAGCACCGAGAGGACGAGCAGCGCCATCAGTAGCAGCAGCGCCGCGCCCTGCGCCGTCGCCCGTGCCCTGCGCCACGCAGGCGGCGGCCGCGGTAGCGGCGACGCCACGAGCACGGGACCTCCCGCATGGGTGCGCACAACGGGGCCGTTCGGCCACGTGGTGGGTGTCCCCCCCGTGCTTGTGATGATGCGGGGGTGCCCCCCCGTGCGTGTGATGATACGGGGGTGCCCCCCCGTGCGTGTGATGATGCGGGGAGTTCCAGCTGTGTGCTTGCATCATCGCGGCGCCGTTCCCCGAGTTCTGGCTTCGCAGATTTTCGCTGCGATTCTCAACTCTCACCGCTCAAACAGATCCTCCTTTCTATCTACTCAGGGGAGCAGTGCTCACACGTATGTATGTTGAACTCTTGGACAGTACGTAGCCAACTGTGCTAATCGGAGGTGCACATGTGTGCATGAAGTGTCTCGATATATATGCCCGCGGTGTGTCGCAGCGAGGAGGTCACTGGTGGTGGAGGTGGAGGAGGTAGTTGAGTCTCCCTCGAGCTCTTGACCGCAACTGCCACGGAAACTCGGAAGGGGGCAGTGCCTGTTGCGTCGCCGTGACGGCACCACGAACCTGACCGTCAGCACCTCCTCCACGAGCAACGAGCCAAGCACCTTCTCCTGGATGAGCAGTCCTATAGCCTCCTCCCCACCCTGCCTCCCAGCCTCGCACGATCTCACCTGCCATCAAAACCACCACCACCTCAAGTGACCTTGAGCGACGTGACAGGGCTTTGTAGACGACGCAGGGGCACTATAATCACGACCCGCACGTAGCTTCGCCTCCCCACACGAACACCGCGTGAACCAAGGCGCAGACCCTGGTGGTGGAGGGGGGCACGTGGAGCCAATGGACGTGGTTCTCGCTGTGAAACACGCCGCGTCCCTCGCTGCCAAGTCAACGAGCAGGCGATTCGCCCTCCGTCTCAGATCTCTCCCTCCACATAACGAATACACTAACGTACGGCGGCATATCGTGTCACAGAACTGTGACACAACTAATACCGCAGTGAACTCAATGCGTGTTGTGTTGTATTTAACACGCATCATGCGAGTTACCGGTTTAAGCACTGTCGTTGAGGAGTGCTAAACACTGGGCTTCGCGTGGCACAAAAATGCAGTTTTGGGACACAGAGAGACTCACAATTTAGTTTTCCCTGCAGTCACAGCTGCAGCTCTGTGTTCGTAATTCACGTTCACGACACCGGGTTTTCACGATAAATGAGTGTAATGGGTGCACGCGGCGTTCGCGTGATTATGCGCCCACATTAACCACACGTTTTCCACAACGGTATTTCCTGCCAGCTCCTGCAGCAAGTCGACAGAAAATCGCTGAGAACGCAAATAATACAAGGCGCGTAGGGTTGCAGTTTTGCTCAAGGCAGGGTTTATGAGAAATGGCACGAGCTGAACTGATCAAATCTGACAAGGAAACACTACATCTGGATGTTCTGAGCCTATGGACACGCCACTGTTTCCTTAACTGAGCCATACGCGTCCACAATTTCAACGGCGTTTTCACAGCGAATTCAAAGTTTCCCCATGCACAAAGCAGCCAATGAGTGATTTTTTTTTATTTCATTCGTTTTACCCAGGAAAGGATCATGACTTTTTTTCAGGAGGGTTCCTGACACGTTTGCACAGTACGGTATCGGGCGATCTTGCTATGTATCATTTGCAGGCATTTTTTTTTCGTTGGGGTGTTTGGCCGATACGAGTTACTGAATGTTTGTTTGTCGCTGTGGGGGGACGGGAGTGCCGGGGAACTCAGAGGAAACCCATTTAGAACAGGGGGACAAAGATAGAACATACAAACTCGACACGGAGAGGCGACTAAGTCTGGAATATAAACCTGGCGCTTCCTCTTGCTGCGAAGCGCGAGTGTAACCACACTCACCTAAGATAAAGATCCCCCGTGTAGCCCTAACAGGCTGTTGGGGCAAGTGCTGTTAGAGAGCACCAATGAAGGACGGCACGGAACATGAGGAAGTGTGTCGCCAGTACTACGCCCGAGTGGCGATGATTACTCACAGCACCAGGTACTCATTTGAGACTGAATCGACCTAGAGGAGGCCCAGAACTGGTTCAGATAATCGTTACTGGTGTTGACCGTGAGCGGGAATCGCCGGGTTTGTAGCGCAATGCGCTAACAGCTGCACCACCTAGCCGAATTCAATTAAGGTCGCTGTGACTGCAGCGCTGCACAACGATGGAGATGAACTCTCCCTTGAATTGTGATCTACTAAAATAGCAAACGAGTCATCGTGGTAAAGTTTATATTTGAGTAGTTATACGATTTTGAAATGGCCAATTACTTTATATAGGACAGAACTGCATTATTGTCATACCTGGGAAGAGTGCCCAGGTTCCACCCAGAGGTCGCAATCAGGTACCCGATACCTGTACCTTACCCGATACCCGGCCGGGTACGGGTAAGGAATTAAAACCCCCTTCTTCTTGGTTCTTTCGGTAAAGTCACGTAGAAGGGAAGTAATAAAATAATACAAATAAAACATAATAAAACAATTCTCACGACGTTTCGGCCACAACGCAAGCAGCCGTCCTCAGGTGAAAACCAGGTCTTTCGAGGCGACAGCGTCTGAATGAAACAGCACACGTGCTTGGAGCATATATATAAGCTGGGTTGGAAGGGGGGAAAAGAGCGCCTTGACAAAAGAATATGCATATCAAAAGGCATTTAGCATATTTATGCAGGTATGTGATTAGTACTACTCATGCCCGTGCATTCTGCAGGATTAGCAGCATCAAAGGGAAGGGATATGGGAAATGTAGGTATGTGATTAGTTGTGGCCGAAACATCGTGAGAATTGTTTTATTATGTTTTATTTTTATTATTTTATTACTTCCCTTCTACGTGACTTTACCGAAAGAACCAAGAAGATGAATCCCTGCAGTCACGAAAGCTTTTAATCGAGAATTAAAACCCGTTTGCGACCTCTGGTTCCACCTCACAGTTGCACCAGCTTGAGTGAATAATGATCCAACACTTACATATTCACTCCACTCACTCGCCCCCTCCTCATCATTCTTATGTCGCTACTACCATGGTTACTTTTCCCCTGAACGTCACTCATTGATTCCTCCCCCAATGTTTATGACTCGGTCTACTAGACTGTTTCGTCGTATCCACACTGTATTCATCCACCACACTATAGGTCACGACAACACATTATTCACTCACTCACCCGCTCACTCACCCATTCACACGCTCACCCACAACACAGCAAGTCACACCACTTCTCATACCGCTTCTCTCGCATTGCTCGATCTTGGAAGTTCCTGTCGTTTTCTATTTTCCCAAACTCTAATCATGATAACCTTACTCAACTCTAGATGTGCGTTAACCCCTACTGATTACAATTTTTGGGAGTGCTGTTTTTGCTGACGATTTAACATGTTGGCCCTTTGCTCTGAAACTGTTAAAATATATATCTTCCTCTTTTAACTCGTATAGCATTTGGAACACGAAGGATACCTGACAAGAATTTTCACAACTCCTGTATAGCGTTTGGGAAAAATATGACAGCACATTCAAAAATATGTTTATGCTATACGGAATTTGCAGCAAGGTTCAATACAAACATGAAACTAATTTCTGTGCTAGTTAAAAAATGTGCCTTCCTAACTGATTTATTTTGTACTCTTTGGTTCTTTCGATAATATCACGTAGGTATAAAATACAATTAATTACGACGTTGTGGGCGCAACACAAGCGTCCATCATCAGGTGGGAAAAATAACCAAAGAGTATGGATCCCTGCAGTCACGAAAACTTCAAATCAAGATTGGTTTATTTTGTATCCGAAAGGCAAAGGTACAACCTTCGTTGATCACGCCACTGCTGGCGAAGGACCTTCACTGTAGAGTCAGCTATAGAGGATATTTTGTCTACTCTTCCACATTGACCGGACGTGTTGAAGAGGTAGTAGTACCCACACTGTACCCCACCAAACGTGCCTTGCCGATCAGCTCACTGTGGTGAACTCATTTATACTGCTTGGTGGAAATAGGAAGGAGTAAAAATAACTACTGATGTTTCAACTGCCGGGTCGGAAGCAGGAATTGAACCTGCGCGGTCTGGAATAAACATCCATCGTGCCGTGGCAGCTCCCTTCCTATCGTTGGGAAAGTTTATTTATTTATTTGTTATTCTCATGAATACCATATGGTATTTTTTGAAAAAATGTTTTTTTTCTAGTCAAATAACCTAAAGTCGAATAAATATATAAAAAATAGTGGAACGGAAGAATTGCCGTTTAAGCTGTCTGGCCTTCTTTAGGAAACCCTTCGGGTTCACAGCTGAACTGAGCCTTAGCGAGGGAGGTTGGTGGTCAGTGATGTCATATGATGACTCACTAAATTGGCGCCAGCATTTCACATATTTTTAATCCATCAAGCCCAAGCCGACACCACCTCTCGCGTTCCTGAGATGCAACAATTCACCCAGACCCGACACACTACGAAGTGTGATCTCATCGCTCCATCTCCGAGGTGGACGCCCTCTTGAACGCATTCCATTTTGTGTCGCTGCCACTCCGTTATTATTCTTTGGCCACCGTCCAATGCCATACGTTATTATGCAGATTGTCTAATTGAAGTGTATTTAGTTATCTCATTGTGGGGAAAACCCCATTCAGGGTGTTTAACGGTCACATACATATTTGGTGTCAATATAGAATGTGGCCAATATGGGGCTGTTTAATGAAACATGTCATGGAGAATATTGTTATTGTGAATAGTCGATTGTAAAAGGGCTTGCACAGCAAGTTGTATACTGTCCTGCTGTGTGCATGATGCCACATGGAAAGTTGGGGCGGCAGGATGGCGCAGTAGTGACGAGAAGGGGAATGGGTTCAGTTTCCGACTCGAGCCCCTTTGTGCGTGGAGTTTGTACGTTCCTTCCTTGTTCTGCAGAGTGTGGGAGTGAGTGTGTGCGAAAGCGTGAGTCGAAGTGAATTTGTGTGTGAGTGCGCGAGTGTGTGTGTGGGAGTTTGTCCTTCTCTTCTGCATGGATTTCCTCTGGGTTCTCGGGTTTCCTCCCATAGCTGAAACACATATAACGTGACTGGTACTGTATCGGCGAAACCTCCCAGTCCAGTACTTAAAAATTACCTCCACATTACTCCATTTTGATTCCACATAGCAACATTGCCCCCTACTGTGAAAACTTGGAAGGACGTTCCTAAAGTTGAAACTTAGTGAGGACTAGGCTAGGTAAACACGCGTCATACTATATGAAAAAAAATATTTGCTCGCTGGATTCATGGCTACCTGCCTGGATTCCTGGATGATGGCTGGCGTGCAAGTGCACGTGGACGTTCCTTCACCGCACATATCTTGAGGATGACGTCACCGGCATCCCACAGCATGGAGCCGAGTTGGTGCATCGTGCTCACATCACGCCTCCCCCCCACACCCACGCAAATATGAGAGAGGAGAGGAAGAT